ACAAGGAGGTTAATACTAAGCTGAGTTAGACTAGTCGCTCGCAACATCCTGAAGATATGGATTGTTCTGTGTCCGGAACAGTGATCAGCTGCCCTCGGATGGTCAAGTGGTTAGCGTAACAGCATCCTACCTGTATGATCACTGGTTCGATTTTCACCGGGTCCAATAGATTCGCACTGCTTATGTGATTCCCATCTTTTTTGTTTTGCGTATACCCTGAATGTCATGCCTTTATCCTTCTTGTTTCTCCTAATAGGCAATTGGGATTGTTGTTGGTACAAAATGCTTCCAGTGAAAATACCGGAAAAGGTGTAGTTTCTGTACAGGGGCACCCAAACTCTCCGCAACGTATATAACTACCAATCCGGAAAAATGATGTTAGCTCAAAGCAAGCACAACGGTAGAGTGGTTATATTTACATGTATGTGATTCTGAACGAAAGTATGAGGAGATGGTACACTGATGACGTCTATTATCTGCCAAGTTGTCGGTGCACCTTACACCTTGTAAATCACTAAGACCAACTTTGTTTTCTATTCGTTATGTCTCTCAGGATGCGCAACTATGAATAATTTGAGTGTTGTGAAATTTGGCCTCAGTGAATCGAAAATCCGAGCACCCACAAACTTTTGTGGGTTTGGGTATATTAAGCTCAGTTTTCCAATCTTTCCACTTGATTTGATATTTCAGTCACCGACACCGACGGCGGTATCCAAATATATAACTGATGTGGATCTTACCGGTTGTATCGCCAAGTCCACCGACTTCTAGTTCTTGTATACTCATTGTACGAACAGAGTTTTGTTCTTGGTTTCCCTGTTTCTCTTTTGTTTCCATCAGGTGTTTGTCAGTGAATCATTTTCCGGTTACTCAGATTTTTCGAAGTGCAATGTTTTTGTGCTCGTCTCACTAGTAGTTGATCGTATCTATCTGTCTTACGCTGCTGGCCAAGTAGCACAAGTTAATATTGCAGAGGTCAATTCAAATCGCCGTTGTATAACTTTACCACGTATGCATGCACCCAGATCGACTGCAACCCCTTTGCCGAAATTCGACTGTATTGTTGTATATTAAATGAATAAAAAATGACAATGGAAATTATTATTATTATAGCGGCTGTTCAGTGCAGTGGAGTAATACCGGGTTATAATTGCATTGGCTTTAATCGGACTGTGGTTTCCTTTAGACACTCAGAAAAAACTATGGTACATTCGGTTTATCCGTTCTCATTGGTTTCCCGTTCGCCTGTTTCCGGATGTCACAATCTAACCGTTGGAAGATTAATTGATTCAGTCCCTATTTTGTTCATCTTGCCTCCACAGATCAATACCAGCCAACCTTTCTTCTGTATGCACTCTGTGTGTACAGCGTTCCTTTCGTCTGTACAGAATACATAAATAGTCATCGGAAAAGAGTTAGTTGTACTATTTCAGACAAATGACCTCCGTCTGAAATTGTCTGCTTTTTTATTCCACTTGAGAGTTTGTTCAACAAAATTAAGTCGAAAACAATTAGCTCGGTTTTTTGTCTGTAAATACAAAGGAATATGTGCATTCACGCTGTGGCACAGACACGCATTTCGAAACCGACGGTACTACATCCAAGTGTGCTGCCATCCATTTAATGTGTTTTCGATGCCTTCCAACACCCAGTCCACGCCTTCCACTACTCTCGCCCACATTCGCTCAATTTTCAGTGATCCAGCAATTTTCGAATACCTCCTTCCGGATCACCTGGACTGTTCTAGCTTGATCTCAGTGGACGGACAGCTCTATCTTTCTTGTATGCTTGATCTGACTCCATTCTCTTGAATGAAAATTTGCTCGTTTTATCAGGGTTGATAGGTTTTTTTCAATTTCACTACTACCGCTTTGGTAACTTCTACTTTTCAATCGTACTCAGCAATCAATTTTATTTATCCATTTGATCACGCGCCTTGACTGATCAGACAGAGCAACGAAATTTAGTTATCCACATCTGTCCTCCGTCTTTCCGTTCGTTCAGCTGTGAAGTGGAGAAGCAAGTGATGTTAGTTTACAATCTTTTATTTTACATACGTCTGAGTTCAGATTGTGTACCGAACAAATCACGGTGCAAAAGAAAAACTTTCCATGATTTGCTTACGGGCGAAATACTGCCAGGTTGCGCAGGCCAAGGCGGATGAATTTTCTTGGGGAGTTCACAACCGGAGCCTTCGGCTAGCCAAAGCCTAACCCGCAAGGCAGCTGGGCGGTATGGAAAAACCGGAATCTATTGGGAGCCGGTGTCCAGTTCATCGGATCATACGCCCTTCGGACGGTGTGAAACATCTGAGGTGCCCAGTTGAGCTGGTGATCACTATCACAACCACGGACCTGTGCGTGTGTGGTTCGTTTGTCTCTTCNCTTGATTGGTTTGGAATTAGGGTTTTTAGTCAATTTACTTAGATGAACTGCCAGCGGATATTAATTCAGACGCTTGATCATAAAGGAGAATTTCACGAGGTTTGGGGCAATATTGATCAGTAAAAAACCGGACACCCACCCCGACGCTACTGAGGTTTTCAGAGGCATTTAGTATCTTGGCCAGAAGAAGATGCTGCTTCACTACACTTGAGTTTATGAACATCGCAGTGTTTTACCTGAAATTTCCCAGCGTCACCCGGGTGTTTTCGTATGTGCGCCTCTAGGTTTTTCATAGCCGTATGTGAGCTTGTCAATGGCTCCCTTGGAGCTCAGTAGCTATTCTATGAATATACACGCAATCCAGTTCGTGAAGTAGGTTTTCTTGATAGCCCAAGCTTGATACTCTAAATTTCTTCATAGCCGTTTAGTCAGACTGTGGATCTCATTCACTTGCGAAGGACCAGTTGTATTCGCTTCCTGTAGCTCCCCTCTGGCTTCTTTCAATTTTCAGTTATTCTGGCTCTATTTGACCTGCTTGTAGAGAGAAACAGAAGGAAAGGAGATGAAACAGGATGGGCCAGGTAACATGCTCCCGATCTAGGTCAAATAGTTATGGATGAATTGACGGGTCTGGACCAGAGTAGCAGGAGGGCTTTAACAAACTGTTTTTGTGAACATAGAGTTAGCTGCAATAATTTTCTCACTAGCGTCCCCGGTGTCACAAGATGGCGCTGTCGGAAGGTTTTGGAATGATTTGGGGTTGCCTTGTAGACGATTTTGAACACATCTCCATTTTTTACCAGGCGTCCGGTATCTACGATGTACGCCGTGATTGCATTCGAAATGGCCGTTGTGGTTGTCGTGTTTAACCAAGCAGGTTTATGTCCGTTGATCATTTGAGAAAACTGCCTGATCGTTCTGCTTACGTAGCTTGCCGCACAAGAAGGAACAGGTCAACATGGAGGCAGTTTATCTTTCAGATTCACTCATAACAAGGATCGGCTGGCCAACTGTGTACGTGAACCGGCCACAGGAAATGTTTGGGCGATCAACTTATCCAGGCACTATGTCAACATATTGTATTTGTAGTCACCTTTGAACGGGAGACGTAGGGAGATTTGGTTTTAGCGAAGTGTAGTCATCGTTGTTCTTCTGGCTCTTTAACATAGATTCTTTTGAATGAATCCTCGGAATTACCATTATCCAATAGCGTCTGCCTTAGAAGATTCAATTCTGCCTCCAGGTTTTCCGTTGAACATATATTTCGAACGCGAGCAGCTAGGTATTGGGCGTGGTTTCGCTTACACCTCAAAGGTACATTACCGATGAAGTGAGTGTACTGACCTGTCCATGTGGATTTTTCTGTAAACGAATCTCCTAATTGTTCCGTCCGAGCACTGGGTTAGACTAACATTAGGTAACACTGGTGGATCTGTGTATGTATTCCACATTATGCTAATTGACTCGTTTTGTCTCGATAGCAATATTTGTGAACACAGCCGTGATCACCCCGAAAAGCATTGTTCTAACATCAGAAATTCAGGTCCTACCAGGGTACAAGTCGATGATATGTCTGTGTTTCGTGTGCACGACCAGTTAACTCTATTCGGATTATTGATCCGATTCCTTTTGTTCCGACATATCGTTAGATCGCCAGTTAGACGGTTTCATCCGGAGGTCGATCTATCGAATACTGATCGGGAAAACCCAACCACTACAAATCAGCAATTTAGCGAGAGAGGTCTATCTTTGTATTTGGAGAATAGGGCGGCGAAAGTATGGAAGGATGATATACGAACAATGCAGAACTGATTTGTTAATATCCGCTGGTTCTGTGGACAGAGCCTGAGAACATCGTCGACTCATGGTGGTACGTACTAACGGAGAATAGAATTCAGTCCATTCATGTGTTCGCTTCAAGGTTGATCATCTAAAAGTCGATAAAGGTGACACAGCAAATGCCTTAGGTGGCAAAGTTGTGTGCCGTTTTTTATTCTTTAGAAAATTCATGTTTTCAACTCCAAATAGCTTCCTTTTTCCTGGAACTTGATAGTGAGCGCACTTGTTTGCTTGCCGCCGTGGAATAGCATATATCGGCCTCAGAATCAGACGCTTTCTCCCCAAATTTCGCGAACATCGTCGAACTTGACTGACTATTATGTCCAAGTCTAAGCGGTCTCCCTCCCCATTCACACGGTCCAGCTATAACTTAGTTCGGACTTGTTATTCAATGCCGTATGCTGGACTTTGATAAAAAGTTTATCTTTAACTCTTAACCCTTTACTCTTGTTTTCGTTAAAAGGATTTGATACAATATAATAGTGATGAGTTAGCCAGTTGATAACCCACCGATATGAATCTGGGTATTATGCTCAGCAGTCTCCTACTACTGTCTGTTTCCGTTGTACTACCATCTCTTGATTCCCGTTGACTGCGGTGTATGAGTTACCGTGTATCGGAGAAACTGGGTTCCGATTCGTGGGAAGCAAAACGATTTTAGTAGCATATCGTCTTTACCGATTTCCCGGGAGAGTTTCTTTCGCATCTCATAACTTACGGATCAGTCTAACGATGTTGTTAATCATGTCACCCGTCGTTTTCCATTCCATGTTTTAGATACTCTATTCTGCTGGTGGTTATTTGCGTTACTCCCTAAGTGCGTTCGAATGTTACAATCCAAACACAAACAAATGGCGCCAACTGCCTGATATTCCCAGTCCCCGGAGTGGTCTGTCCGCGTGCTCCGTTCGCGGTTGCGTGTATTTAGTTGGTGGTCGAAATAATAACGAACAGGGCAATATTGACGCGCCTCACATGGACTGTTACGACCCGGTGGCCAATAGTTGGCACACATGCGCTCCCATGTCCGTCCCGCGAAATCGAGTCGCAGTTGGTGTGATCGACGACATGATTTATGCCATTGGAGGATCCACGAACACGCTACCACATAACAGTTGTGAAGTGTGAGTTCCGCATTATCGTCATCTTGTGTTGACCAAGAGTAGTAGTTGTAATGGGTTGATTTAGTTGATATTCGCAATGGATTTCATTTTGAGTATGTTTTATTGTTTTCCGTACTAATGCTTTTTCCATCAGCTGTTACATTTCGACTCTGGTCCGTGTTACTCTCTGATTAGTCTTATTTGTATTTAACATGAACTTCCTCATCAGACCGAAAGCAATCCATTTTAGCAAGTCTGGCTCTTTGACGAGGTACGGTTGCATATTAAACTTGGTCTTTCAACTGACTACTCATTTTGTTACACTGGCCTCACGCAGAGACTCATCTGATCCCAATTCGTATCACTCTCAGTGGAATACTTGGTAGCGATCAAGATTGATTCCCGAACTGCTTTACTCTCATTTCAAGAGTGGTGGACACTTTGGAAATATGCATATACGTGTCTGTGAGAAAAATGCATTGCAAGGCACGATATCACCCAGGAACATCATAGGGATAGGTAGACTCCATTGTTCACATTTCTTTTTCATAGTCGTTTTTGAGTGTGATGGATTGATGACGAGTATTCTTCCATGCTAGTGGTCTTTTACTCACAAATAACCGATTTTTAGCTGGGTTTAACCGTTTAGTATCACGCCACACTTTAATGGTGTTCATGAGCATCACGCTTATCACTGGTCATTCTCACAGCAAATGCAATTTGTATTTGTATAGATTTTTGCTTGAATAACTGTACGCATTTCAGTCAAAAATTACACATCTTATCAAAGGAAGGAAAAAATACAAGTAAAAAATGTAACCCCCAAGGTTGCTGAGCAATTCAGAAAAAACACTGTCGGTTTACAGCGGTTCTAGCGAGATGGGTAACTGGAGAATTTCCGTGGAGGTTAATGCAAGAGAGTAATAATCGATATGTGGAACGCACAGATGAATGAGAGCTGCAATTGGATAGATCGCAATGTAAAGGATGAGTGGGGTCAGGGAGGATTTTCTGTGCAAATGTTTCACAAGCGGACAAGTGAAGTTCACACAGTTTTTTAGATAAATCATCAACGGTTATAAAAAGACACGATTGATGATCGACAATCTTACAGATTGGCTTGTTTTCTTCGAAAGGAGTTGTAAGGTCAGATCTCCCTTATCTAGTTAATGCTGTATCGATCAGTACAAATCCGACCAAATCCCAGTCTTTCCTAGAATTCTTCATCATTGGCATTGTCGTGTTTGCGATTCGCCTGATACCTTCACAGTGTAAAATACTGCAATATACTTGGTTCTATCCCGCGTCAAGTCTTTGCGCCTGGAGAAGCAACAATACAACTGCATATTTGTTTGAATATTCAACTAGTTAAAAGTCCAGTGTTTGTCTAGGGCGATTCGTCCTGTCTTCTTCGTTTCCGTTCCCCGAATCCGACTGCGCTTGACCTTGATCGATCAGATTAAGCAAGTCATGCTACAGTTAACCGATAATGTTATCCTGCTGTGACGCACACACAAACACACAGCTGGATGAGCCAATGCATCCGCGAACCTCGGCCTAATCGATCCGCGCGTTGCTGATTTATTCACTTGATGCGAATGCTGCTGTCGAGACGGGGGTTAACGTTTTCTCACACGCACGTGTGCGGAGCCAGGGCCTAAGCAATTTTGCTGCGCGTCACCTTCTTTCATTATATGCTCTAATAAGAGTGTAGTACGGGACGGAAGCCTTGAATAACTCCGTTCTCCAATCATGGCTCTGGTGGTTTTCTGTCGCTTACTTGACACTGAATCAGTAGGCACCTGGGGTCTAGACAAATGTAAATGATGCACTCATAATTGAAATACTGATCCACAGATAACTACTTTCCTCCTAATTAATTGAACCTCACTCTTTTAGGAATCGCACCTTTGAAATTTGCTCATCACTGGATATTCGTCGTCCGGTGTTTCATTTTTTATGCATTCTGAACCACATCAATTTCCTTGGATCAAGACCCCGCAGGGCTAACAAAACCACTTGGCTGTTAACTCAAGCATATAGTGTCCACAAGACCGGTTTGGATCACTATCAATCTTAGTCGCTTTGGGATTTCGCGACTATAGTGATCTCAACAGGTTGGCATTCATCATCACTGTAGCCGAATTCTCGGACTGTGTTCGAAAACGATAATTACAATTGTTGACTGACAATTTGCACGAGACAGTTCGGTACTCGATTGCTTCGTACTCTATGGGGTTTCCTGCATGGCTTTCTGTCCAGTTGACCTCTGCCGCGTCACACTCACTCTGTTGTGTCGCTCGTTTTATAGTTTCTTTCACGTTTTCCCTTCCTGTTCTACACATTACTTGAACAAAAAACACAATTGCAAAACTTCGCACATTAATTTCGCTGCTTAGCACAGAAAACAGTTGATTGATATATGAGTCGACGGGTCAACGGTGTGACATCAACGTGGCAGAACTAAGGTAGCAATGTTCTTGTAATGGCGGTCGACCTGGTGGCGTGTTGCCAACAGATCCTGGCGAGTGAGGATGCAGGAGTTTTGCGCATTTGATTTGCGGTTGGGTGTGATTGCGTAATTTTTCACTGTACTTATATCGCTCTGACCCCGATTTCGAAATTTGCCCGATCGCCCTAAATTATCCCGGAAATATGGCGTGCAATCTCACAATATTGTGTTCTTTGTTCAAGTTTCCCTATAATTGTAAAAACAACGTTTCTCAGAAAGGGAGAAGCAGTCAATTAAGGGCTATCATGTGGTTCGGTAATAATGGGATAGTTCGTCTGCGATAGGGCGGAAGATCAAACAAACGAACTGCGGGTGGATAAGATGGTAGTCTCAGTCTCCACCTTTCCGGTATACTGTCGTCGCTCGATTGTGTTCTTGACCTTCATTCATCGTAGATCTCAATCATTCTATCTCAATTAGCCAGTTTCATCGGTATCTCGATCTGTGCAGAAATTGATTTTATGGCTATGATCAATGAGTTCATTGAAGTTGCAGTAAACATCCAAATCATTGCATCCCCGTATTCTATCCGATGTGTAACAAGGAGATTGGTCCATATCCTCAGCCATGCACATAACCTATTCCAGCATAACTTCAGTGATGTTGTAACCTCGTATTGCAGACTACGAAGCATTTATTCTCTCACTTCGCGCACCGTTTGACCGAATGAAAGACAACCTTGTGAGAGTTGTTGGGACAAATCAGTCAAAGCGATTTTGGTACCTAAACACGTTAACCATAGTGTTCCAATTTCCTTTCAGTCAAAACAGGCCTAATCACACTACTTATTGCTTCTTAGTTCTCATCACAGAGATCCTATAAGTTCGCTTCACCGTGCGAAAATGATGGTGTTAATCTAGACGTGTCCTCACTTTGTAATGACCCTATTTCCGAATCTAAAGCATTGTGGAATTAAAAAATGTTGCGATCTACTTTCCGCTTCCCTTTTCTGAAAAGCTGATGATACAACTACCTATAAAGTAAAAAAAGTAAATAATAAATACCTTATTGATTACTTTTAAGGTGACGTAATATTCCATACGACGTACATTTCACATTATTCATTGCTTGTCGTTCAGCCTATTCACAAAAGTACGAAAACTTCTAAATATGGTTTACATCGACCATTGTGTTGATGTCAATTAACATGAAACGTCACATTTCCTCCTGTTTCGGTGCTCGACGCTTGGTTTGTTTTGATCCTATTGTTCTGTTTGACGGACTCGTCACACCACCACCACCNCCACCACCCCTCCCCCGTCCCGCATTCCGTTTTTCCAACAACATTGAATGCCTGGTTTGCGTCCGAATTGGACCAGAGCGTTCGTGACGCGATGTTCTGCACACGTTCATCTTGTCCATTTCTCTTTCTTTTCTCTCTCTCCATTCTTCTGTTCCTCTCACTCCCGTTCTCATTCGTCTGCATTCCGGCATGCAACATTCAACTTCACTATTCGTGTTTACTGTCCTACCAGTGGGTGTGGTCTCCGTTTGAGATATGCTTCTGTCGATTCGACAATAGATCGTTTATCTACCCTTCATTTTTCAGACGCGTTTGTCGTGTGCGTGTATGCATGAGTCATTTACTTCGTGACTTGCCTCACCCTCGTTTCCAGTTCGATCTCGGAACAGCCCGTTTTGCCCATCTTACGCCGATTGGACACTCAATCATCTTCCCCTTGTACGTGTTCATCATCCACTCCCCGTTTACA